CCATGGCCGCCCACCGGGCGAAACCTCGGCAGAACCACCGATTTGCTTACAGCAGGGAGCCAAGTGAGAATCTCGAACCTGGTGCAGGCACTGTCTGAGGAATCTCGGAAGGCCGCGCATGCTCCTCGGGTCGGCACTGGGCCCCCCTCCCCTGCCGCGCGAAGTACGCCGTGGGTGGCGCCCGAGGCGCCAGCGGAGTACGCCGCCGACTCAAAAACCTCGCGCGGACCTCCCGCAGTAAGGGCGGCTGCGTCGTGTCCCTCGGAAGCACTTGCGCCCAGGACTCCAAGCACCGCCGAAAAGGGAGTCACCACGCGGCCACCCCTCCTCCAGGAAACAGACCCCCTCGACAGATCCCTGGAAGACCTCCCGATGTCAGGGCGCCCCAGTCCGCGCGGAGTCCTTGAATCGGCGCTGTACTCCACTCCCCAGCGCGCCGCAGGCGCCGCCCAGCGCCGATGCAAGACATCCGCGCGGACCTCTGACAGCTCAAATATACGATTTCTTCTTCGGCGGAATATTTTTTCATGACGTGGACCGGGGTCTCGGCACACTCCCTGGGACCGGCTTTTCATCCTGAGTCGCTTTTGTTGACGGTCCTGGGGCCCGCCGAGGGCCCCAGAGCCCGAACACGTCCAAAAGCGTCCCGTCGTGATTTCTGCACGGCGCGAGCATGTCTGGGGAGCACGCCTCGCCAGGACCAGATGGCCTTCTGGGCCTCACGGGTGCGCGAAGCGCTGGCGTCTTTTTGTGACTCGCGGGCACGGGCGCTACGCGCGGCCAAGGCGCCCGACGCCCGTCCCATTACTCGGGCACCTTCGGCAGCCGGGTGAGACGCTGGGCGGCGAGGTGCGCAAACGACGCCGCGTTGCCGCCGGCGTGCGACAGGCCGCCCAAGAGCAGCGCCGCCTAAGACCGCGCGGGCGGCGCCCTGGGCCAGGAACACCTCTGACTGATGGGCCTGTTTTTTCACCACCACCAAAATAAGTTGGAGGGAGGAAGGAGGTGGAGGACGTGGAGGAGGACGAAGAGGAGGAGGAGGAGGAGGAGGAGGAGGTGGAGGAGGAGGAGGAGGAGGAGGAGGACCCCTTCCCCCTCCAACGTATGGTGGTGGTGGCGGAAAACAGGCCCATCATCTGCCAGCACCCGATGGCTGGAAAGGTCGGGCGGGGCGGCCTCGGACCTCCCGCCGGGCCTGCTCGGCCAGGTCAGGCGGCGGTCAGGGCGGCGGCGATGATCCGAGGTCGTCGAGGGGAAGGGCGAGGATCGACGGACCGAGCGTCCGAGGCTCGGCCTGCCGATGCCGCTCGAGGGCCGGAGTCCGGCTCAGCGCTTCGGCCGCCAGGCCCGTCGACGCGGGGCCGAGGGTCGGGAGTTCGGGGGGGGCGTTCTGGCGCCCCGGGCCGCTGCAGGGGCCTCCTGGTGGCCACGGCCCAGGCTCGCCTCGGGACTCTGGCCAGGGCGCCTCCCCAAGGCTTGGGTCGGGCCTGTCCCCCTACAAGGGGATTCTGGGCGAAAAATTGGGAATACCCAGAAACAAGCGCCCAACATGCTCAAACATTAGCAAAACAGAATCCCCTGACTATTTTCTGACTATTCTTAGATTTTCCTCCTGTAGAGGGACAGGCCCGGCTTAAGGCTCGCCTCGGGACTCTGGCCAAGGCGCTTCCACAAGGCTGGCGCGGGGGCCCACGTCGACGCGGCCTTTTGGGGCCCTTGCCGGCCCTCGGGACCGTCGAAAAACGACTCCGGACGAGAAGCCGGTCCGGGGGAATGGGTCGAGACCTCTGGGGGTCGCGTCATGAACATATCATGACGTCGGGGGTCCGGGATCAGTGATTTCCCTTGGATTGGAATCCAGCGAAACGCGATCGTTGGCGCGAAGACCGCCCTCGCCGGCAAGCAGAAGGGGAGCCGACCAAATCAGCGGCAAGCACTCGGGCACGATATCGCTGCATTCGACAGGCTCAAGTATGGCTCGGGCCCAGCATGGCCTGCGAGCCGCAGCCCCTGATCCAGACCAGAGCCTCCAAACACTACCCCAGAGCACCCCTCGACCTGCGATGCTGAAACGTCGACTCCCGGGAGGAACTGGCGACTCCCTCTGGCGGTGACCCCCTTTGTCGGGGGCTGCTGCCCCTGGCACAGGGTGCCACCCAGCTTGTGGCTCAAGTTTGGAAACCCCTGGGAGGCCCTCTGGGCCCCGTGAGGGGGCGTTCCTGGGAGGCCCCGGGGGGCTCCTCGGAATTCCTGGTGGCACCCTTGACTACCTACCAGACCACCCCAACCCAACCCGAAAACCCGAATTTGACCCGAATTTCGGGTTGGGGGGGGTACGGGTCCCATGTGTTTTTTCCATGTTCCCCGACCCCCCCCCACTGGAAATCGAGGATAAATCTGGGCCTTCGGGTTGGGTTGGGGTGGTTTGGTGGGTGGTGAACCCTGGGCCAGGGCCACCTCTAGCAGCACCCGACCCTGACGCTGCCCGGCTCGAGCCCCAGAGGCCAGAGCGCACTGGCCAGGGGGGGGCACCGCGGCCAAGGAGGGGAGAATGGGAAGAAGGGTGGCATGCTGCAGCGCCCTCGGCAGGGGGAAACAGCGGCCAGCACTCTGGCTGGGACAATCATCGCCCACCCCCTTGAATCCGCTGGGGGGGTTGGGCGCGTGCCGTCGGAACGGGTGGACGGGGATCGGAGGGAAAAGGAGGAGGAGGAGGAGGGGGAGGAGGATGGAGGGGGGCGAGCCTGGGCAAGCCCAGCCGGGAGGTGAAGCACCCTCCCCCTGAGAACTGCCCCGTCCACAGAGCAGTCCTTCGGAAGACAGGGACCTCGGGAAGCCGGGGCCCCGCCCGCCCCTGCCGATGATGAGGAGGGCGGAGGAAGAGGCGGAGGAAATCAGAAGGGTCAGCTGCTCCCATTCGTCGAGCGACTAGCAGCCGCGCAGCGAAGCGAGGGCAGGGAAAAAGGCAGAATGATCATGCGGGAATGATGGGCCTGTTTTCCACCACCACCACCATAAGTTGGAGGGGGAGGGGGTCCTCCTCCTCCTCCTCCTCCTCCTCCTCCTCCTCCTCCTCCTCCTCCTCCTCCTCCTCCTCCTCCCCCTCCTCCCCCTCCTCCTCCTCCTCCCCCTCCTCCTCCTCCTCCTTCCCCCCTCCAGCCTATGGTGGTGGTGGTGGTGGTGGTGGTGGTGGAAAACAGGCCCATCAGGGGAAGGGGGGTGGGGTATGACAACCCCAATCCCCTCCTCTGTGGTGGTCTTTCTCCAGACAGCACATTTGGGGCCAAACTCGGGAGCATGCGATTGGAGGGGGCGTCCATCCTCGATGTGGGGCGTGCTCGAATGGCCCCCTGGGAGTGTATCTCCGAGTCCCCCCTTTTCGAAGCGGCTAGCTGTCGGAGGTCGGGGAGGCCTCGAGCATCTGGGGGCGAGAAATTGCCTGCCAAAGGACAAGCATCATCAACCAGCGTCGGATGGAGAAGCCGGAAAAGGTCGGAATGTGCGTCGGATCGGGCTGCGGGCTGCATCAGCACGGAGTCGGAATCGAGTCGAATCGGCTGCGCCAGAATGCGCAACGTCGCCACGCCGACACAGGGACCTATCGGATCGCTGGGAAATCGGAGTCGAATCGGATCGATCTGGCCGAAGCCGATCTGGAATCCGGTCGATCGAATCGAAACTGGCTCTGCAGGGCGGAAAACCAAAAGGAACGGCCCGCAAAATCGCCAAAACACTGTTTAGGTCCACCCCTGGTAGACAGCCGAGCAGGCAGCCTCGGTCGACGTTCCTTAAACGAGTGTCAGTGACCCAACCCCGTTCCCAGGTGCGGATCGCCGCCAGGCGCCAGGAGGGAGGGGCCGACTCCGAGACGAGACGCACGCCCGCCACTGGAACCGGCACGAGGCGGCGGAGTCGATCTCGAACCATTCGGTGATGCGTTTACGAAGGCAGGGGAGGAGGGAGTCGAGAAACCGATAGAGGACAGGCAGGATGCCACGGGTCAGAGCACGCTGGAGGAGGCGGAGGAGGAGGAGGAGGAGGAACAAGAAGATAGAGAAAGTGACGGCCGCGAGGATCTGAGGAGGAGCTAGACGAGTTACTAAATTCGAGGGTGCCCTGCGCATGGAGAACTGAAACGGTCACGCTGCGCGAGGACAAAAGGGTAGGGCGGATGAGCAGTAGAGGCCGTGCAGCCCATCAGCTGCGTGCCCATTGCATGGCTAACCCCCCTCGTTGCTACGCGCATTCTCTGCGAAATGGGCGCGCAAGCAGGCCCACCTTGCGGAAGCCGCTTCCGTAGCACTGGTCCTTGGAGCAGAAGCAAAAGGTGAACCCCGAATGCTGCACGCGGACGCTACAGAAAACCTTGGTTGATATAACCATCGTACATGGCGCAACGAACGCTTCACTGGCGATGGCCGCGAACACTGCCCATGTTTTCATATGCCAAATCACCACGATTTCTCTCTGAGCACTTTCCGGTCTCTCTTCTCCGCCTTCTCTCTGTTCCTCTCTACCCCTGGACCATATGTTCGTACGGTCTCAGACAAGCCCATCTCACTAACTCGGCAACACGGGAATCCATGCGAGCAGTGGGAGCGGGAATGGGGGGGAGGAGCAGGAGGCGGGGAAGGAGGAGCGGGAGAACTGAAGGGGAAGGGGACAGAGCACGCGGATGAGGTGGGGGGGGGGAGGAGGAGGAGTGCTGGGACATGCTTGGAGGTGAGGCCACGAGTGCAGCCCCAACCGTCGCACCTTCTTGCTCCAAAGCTTCCCCTCCTCCTCTTCATCATCGTCATCAACATCATTACGACTATCATCATCATCATCATCATCATCATCATCATCATCATCATCATCATCATCATCATCATCATCATCATCAGCATCATCATCATCATCATCATCACCATCAACACCATCACCACCATCCTCCTCTTGATCGTCATCATCATCAGCCAGAGCAGCATTATCATCATCAGCAGCAGCAGCATCAGCATCATTACCATCATCAGCATCATAATCAGCATCATCGTCATCACCATCCTGAGCATCGCCATCATCATTACCAGCACCATCACCATCACCACCACCATGATAATGAACATCATAGTGCTGATGCTCTTCAACATCATCATGATCATCATCATCACCATCATCATCGTCATCATCATCAACAATGCAATCACCATCAACATCACCATCACACTTACCATCCCCGTCACAATAACCGCCAACATCATCACCATAATCATCAAACTCATAATCTGAATCATCGTCATCATCCCATCACCACAGTAAGTATATACCAGCAGTTCTACCATCGTAGTAAGCATTTCCATAATAATTTCCAGGCAGTACCATCATTCCAACCATCATGATCATTACCGACACCACAAGCATCATCATCGTCATCATAATCGTCATCATCATCACCACCATCATCACCACCATGATCAGCATCAGCACGAGCCTCAGCCTCAGCCTCAGCCTCAGCCTCAGCATCATCATCAGCAGCATCATCATCATCACCAGCATCATCGTCATCATCACATCAACTCCTGCGCAGAGCCTGTCTGCTCCTCGTTTCCTTCCTGCCCGCTCCTCTTCCTCCTCCTTCTCCTCCTCATCGTGTCTCTTCTCTCCTCCTCACTCCTCCTCCTCCTCCTCCTCCTCCTCCTACTTCTCCTCCTCCTCCTCCTCCTCCTCCTCCTACTCCTGATCATCCTCGGCCCCGAGGGGGCCCATCTCGTAGGGGGAGGCGTCGGGGACTCAGGGCTCCTCTGGTGCAGGCGGGGGGCACCGGGCCCGAGGGGCGAAGAGTCCCGGCTCCCGGGGAGGGCCCCCGACGCGGGGGTCCCCTTCCCCGGGGGGTCGCTGGTCGCGCAGCACCGCGGGCGGGCCAGGGTTCCCTCCTCCTCCATCTCCTCCTCCTCCTCCTCCTCCTCCTCCTCCTCCTCCTCCTCCTCTTCCTCCTCCTCCTCCTCCTCCTCCTCCTCCTCCTGGCGACCGCGGGGGGTCGTGGCTGGTGGTCCGTCTCCTCCTCGGGTATCCCCCCCTGGCGCCGCGGCAGGTGGGATAGCTAAGCGTACCGAAGGGGGTCCTCAGCTGTCCCGCCTGTCGCGGCGGCGCCGCGGCAGTCGGGGTGGCTGAGTGTACCGCTGGAGGTCCTCAGTGCCCCGACTGCCGCGGCGGCTCTTCCTCGTCTGTTCGGTCGGGCTTGCCCACCGCCCGGGCGGCGTGGCATCGCGGGGTGGCCCTGGGCGTCCAAAGCGGCGCCCAGCGGCCCCCGCGTGTGAGAAAAATCAACCTCATCCTCGCCCGCCTAAAACAAGAATGCGGAATAAGGAACGCAAAAGCGTTTCTGGCCAAGGCTAGGAACGGCCGCGAAAGGCTCCTCAACTAGATCGAAGGAACAAGAGCCCCTGCTGGGCCTCAAATCCTGTGAATTGCAGCGTCTTGACCGTGCCACAGGAACAAACATTACGCATACACATCGATTTTCGGGGCGTGGAGCGCTCCGCGCGCCAGGAAGGGGGGGGGGTCCAGCGCCGATCCAAGAACTCCGCACGGACCTCGGAAAGGTCATGCTCCTCCTCCCCCTGCGTGCTCCCCCTCCTTCATGTCCTCCGCTTCCTCCCCCTCCTCCTGCTTATCTCGTTTCCTCCTCCTCCTCTTCCTCCTCAGCTTCGTCCTGCTCCTCTTCCTCCTCCTCCTCCTCCTCGATTTCCTATTCCTCTGCATCCTCCTCCTCACTCCTTCTCCTCCTTCTCCTCCTCGTCCTCCTCCTCCTCCTCGCCGCTGCTCCCTCCTCCTCCGACTTGCCACCCTCCTCCCTCCAGAATGTGCTTCACCGCCTTCTCCTCCTCCTCCTCCTCCTCCTCCTCCTCCTCCTCCTCCTCCTCCAGAACGTGCTGCACCGTTTTCTCCTCCTCCTCCTCCTCATGCTCCCGCCTCCTCTTCCTCCTCGTTCTCTTTCTTCCCTCCTCTTCTTTGTCCTCCTCCATACTTCTAGGTTTGTCCAGACTGTCGCCTCCAAGCTGTTGGGTCTCTAAAAACGCTCGTCACGAAAATGACCACAATCAGCACGTGGACGTGTGCAACGACCTGCAAAAGTGGCCGGCAAGAAGTTGGGTATCGCGGTGTGGTGGAGCATGGACGCTAGCCCATGCGGAGCGTCAGGTGACATTGGTCCTCGACATCCTTCTCCTCTTCATCCCTGGTCTCGGCGCTCCCGCTCCTCCTGCGCCTCCTCCCCCCCGCTGTTGGGGTGACCCTGGCAGGGCTCGCCAGCCTTGCCAGGGAACGCAAAGTTTTGGACGGATAGGCGCCCCCCCCCCCCCCCCCCCTCAGTTTCCCTCCCCCCCTCTCTCTTCTCGGACTCGTCCCCATATGGTACCCTGACGCGCGATGTCGTGTATTTTTCAAGACGCCCCCCCCCCCGAAAATTCCCAACCTTTCCCCGAGACCAGCTTTCCATCGCGATTTGTTTTTGTTGACGGGCCCCGGGCCCGTGAGGGCCCCCATCAGGCCCACGACGGCCCAAAACCTTCCGTCCTGATTTTCTCAGAACAAGAACAGGTCTGGCTAGCCAGCCTCCTCCCAACCGTCCTCGCTGCTCTTCTTCCACACCGTGTAGGTCGAGGGCAGGGTCCGGTCGCAGATTCCGCCCTCGTCCAGCATGTCGTAGCAGTATTTCAGCGCCGACGAGGTCGTCGTCCCCACGCGGGGGACGGTCCCTGCACGCCGCCGCCCCTCCCAGACCACCCCTACCTCTGATTCTGGCTGTGGCTTTGTTTGGCTCGCGGCCAATGGGCCAGCGAAGAGAGCGTCCACGACGGTCCCGTGTACAGGGACAGTCCGTCGCCCCTTGGGTGCCCGAGATGCCTAGCATCCCACAGCTACGGAACTGCCGAGCAACATCCTTCCATCTGTCTGCTTGAGGAGCAACGAGAGAGGGGGGATAGGCATAGGGAGGGATGCATCGACATGGAATCGGCGATACATCGTCGATTGATCGGCGATAGGCTCCCGATAGTGAATCCGCACCTTCCTGGGCGGGGTGGGGCTATCGGGCCCCTATCGGCGATACATGGGCGATTTGGGGGCGATGCATCCCCCCCTGTGCCTATCCCCCCCTATCCTTGCCTCCGACTGCTCGCCTCATGGACAATGGGTTCCGTGCGCAGCAGCGTATGTGCATGGCCGCCCGAGACTGACACCTTGGGGGGCGTCGGGGCAGTCACGGGCAAATCCGGGGGCGCTGGTCGCCCCTCGCCAGAAAGGTTTGTGCCGCGGGGGCTGAACAGGAGGAGGAGGAGGAGGAGGAGGAGGAGGAGGAGGAGGAGGAGGAAAATGGGGAGGAGGAGGAGGAGGAGGAGGTATGTGCCGCGGGGGCTGGACAGGAGGAGGAGGAGGAGGAGGAGGAGGAGGAGGAGGAGGAGGAGGAGGAGGAGGAGGTATGGAAACAGATAATGAGAATGGCATTTAAGAAACAACAACAATCACGATATGCGGGCTAGAATAAGAAGGGAGCCGAGCAGCCCACGAAGCACACGGCGATATGAAAGCAACCCACACGAACTTTCCTCCTCCTGCTCCTCGGCCTGACCCGCCTCCACGGGTGGACGAGGAGGAAGAAGAGGATGGAGCGACGGTAGGCGGGATGGAAAGGAGGGCGGATGGTGATCGGCCGGGGCCCCTGGACCCCGGCCCCTGGAGCAGGAGCAGAGGCCCATGGACCCCGGCCCCCGTCTTCGACCAGCCCCCGCCTTCGAGCAACCCCGCCCCCCGAGCGGTCTGCCCCTCGGGCTACAAACAAGCATCCCCCTCGTCGTCCTCCAATGGCGCTCTTGCTCGCTCGCAACGGGCGGATGCGAGAGGGGTCCACGGCGACAAAGGGGAAGCTTTTGGGTCTAGAGGAAGGGCACGTGCAGACATTACTCCCGCAAAGCACCCGAATAGCATAAAAGGCGGAGAGACGGGTCCAGGAGTAGGAGGACGGGTATAAGAGACAAGGGTGAGAGCACGGCCATGTCCACTCTGGTGTAGGTGTTACCAAGAATCGCGGCCGTCTGGACCAAACATGTAGCCGGTATTGAAGCGAGAACACGGTTCCTGATTATTTCGTGAGCAAGTATCACGCGAAACCGTTACTGGACTGTGCTGGGACGGGCGGTCTTGGGCGCCCCGCCCTCAAACTTCTGCCATCTGCGCTGAACCCCCTCCCTGATTCGCAAAACGCGCCAGGGGCGGCGCCAGAGGCGCCGCCAGGAGGGCCCATCTCCGCTGAGGCCTCTAACTCCTCCTCCTCCTCCTCCTCCCCCTCCTCCTCCTCATCTTCCTCCTCATCCTCCTTCTGCTGCTCCTCCTCTTCTTCCTTGCCCTCCTCCTTGTCCTCCTCCTCGTTCTCCTCCTCCTCCTCCTCATCCATCCCGCCTGGTCCTCAGCCTCCTGCTGCTCATCCTGCTGCTGCTGCTCCTCCTCCTCCTCCTCCTCCTCCTCCACCTCCATACCACCCTCCTTCTTCTCATGCTCCTCCTCCTGCTGCTCCCTCCTGATCCTGCTCCTCCACCATTTGCCTCATCTTGCTTCCTCCTCCTGCTCTTTCTCCTCCTACCCCCCCCCCTCCTCCTCCTCCGCCTCCGCCTCCTCCTCCTACTCCTCCTCCTCCTCCTCCTCCTCCTCCTCCTTCTCCTCCTCCTCCTCCTCACCTCCTCCTTTTCCTTCTTCTCCTCCATCCTTCCTCACTGCCCCCGCCCCGCCGTGCTTGAGTGGCGCGTCGAAGAAGCCCCGTTTTAGGAGGTTCGGACACATGTCCGCGTTGCGGTAGCCGCACATGATGATGTCCCTCGCCGCCGGGCGGCGCGCCGAGCGCTGCGGGGAGGAGGGCGAGCACGGCCAAGAAGCAGCCAGGAGGAACGCGAACCAAACAACTAAGCTTGGGTCGGGTCTGTCCTCCTACAGGCGGATTTTGGACGAACTATAGGAAATACTCAGACAACAAACAAAACAACATCAAAGCATACTCAAAACATAGCCCCCGTATTATATGTTTTACTATGTTTGAATATTCCTCCTGTAGAGGGACAGGCGCGACTTATAACTAATCGATCCCTTGGCCCATGAAGCGCTTTGGTCCACGAGGAGGGCCCGAGATACAGCCATGGAACAACCTAAGGAACAGCGTGCCCCTTGCCAGCCCGAGCAGTTCCTCTCACCGCCCTGCATGTATGCAGGGATCTTTTGACGGAGCGACGAGGAGCACAAGGAGAAGGAGGAGGAGAAGGAGGAGGCGGAGGAGAACAAGGAGGAGGAGGACGACGGCGAGGCGGAGAAGAACAAGGAGGAGGAGGAGGCGGAGGAGAACAAGGCGGAGGATGAGGATGATGTGAAGAAGAAGAAACGAGGCGGCGGCCGAACTCGGCGTGGCGTCCGTAGGACATCCGTCGGTTTCTGGGAAGCCTCCCTCGAGGTGTTTCTGACAGCGCTCTGCCGGTCGGGGAGAAGCTTAAACCCTGGCGGCAACCGAACGAAACAACATGAACGAGGAGGGAATCAAGGAGTCAAAGGGAGTACACCCTGCGAAATGCTTAAGAAAACATGGGTTAAGAAATTCATAATCTCAGAATTTGGATAAAAACCCAGAACTTGTATTAAAATCATAGGGTTCACATTGAAACATTAAGAATAATCGAGACTCTGGCCGAAAACTTAGGTTTTCTTAAGCATCGCCTAAGGTGTACCGGAGCCCATACGGGAGGCCAGGAGGGAGACCATATGGGAGCCCATGTGGGAGCTCATGGAGGAGCCCAAGCAGGAGACCATACGGGAGGCCATACTTGAGACCATACGGGAGCCCATACGGGAGACAATGCGGGAGATCATTCGGAAAACCATCCAGACACAGACTCTGAGGCCGGTTCAACCCCCCCAGGGAGGCACCATCCGATCATCGATTCTGGTGCCAGCCAAACCCCCGACCAGGAGACCATACATGGGAGCCTACGGGAGACCGTCTGGTCACCGATGTCATGCCAGCCAACTCCTTCCAGGATGCCCGCCCTGAGGGACGTATGCAGGGCCATCTCAGACAAGCTGTTTGACCCGAGAGAGAGAGAGAGAGAGAGACAGAACAAGAAAAACAAAAATAGAGAGAGAGAGAGAGAGAAAAAAAAAGGAAGGACGAAACCAATAGAAAAACAACATGCAGGACAGATGCGAGGGCGACAAGCAGCCCGATACGCAGATGGCAGTGGCCAGGCATGGCGGTGGTGAGAGGCCTCCTGCGGAGGCTCGGGAGATGGAGGGAGGAAAGCATCGGCGGACGCGGCTTGACGACGAGTCGTCAAGCTGCCGTGACAACCTAAACCTGCGGCTTCTCTCGCGGGCGACAGGCCCACCACTTCCTCGATTCTCCCTCCTCAACTGAGGGGGCCCCAGGACACACAATTAAAAGCACACAAATCCCAGGATTCCCCATATATATTCTGGGTTTTCGTCTTCCCCCCCACACTTCCTATATTTCCTTTTTATTGTCCTTGGAATCGACGATTAATTGTGTCTGTGTTTTTTCTCCTCCTCGTCAACCTCGTCTTGCTTCCCCTGTCGATGTTCCGCCCTCCCGCATGCGCCCCGCCCGGCGGCATACTTGAAGTACGACTTGGGGATGCCCTTACCGGCCCTGACCGCCGGGTGGATCCAGATGATATTCTCTCCTTGGCGCTCCAGAGGGGGCAACGATCGCACGACACGGAGGAAAGACGGAGAGAGAGCTTCCGGCGAATCCGAACAAACCTAAGGGGGGAATCGGAGAGGACCATTCCTCCGCTGCGAGGGGGAAAAATGATAATGAGCAGGATGAGGAGGAGGAGGCAAAGGAGGAGAATTGCCCCACCTCTAGCTCCCTCCTTCCCCCTCTTTCCCCCGTCCGCCCCCCTTCGATCTGCCTCCTCCTCAACCTTCTCCTCGCTCTGCCTTATCATCCTTCTCCTCATCCGCCTCCTCCGCCTCCTCGTCCAAGTCATCCCTCCTCCTCCTCCTCCTCCTCCTCCTCCCTTCTTTCCTCCTTATTCCTCACCTCCCTCGGGCCCACCAAGGTCTCAGCCTCTTGCGCCCGGGCCAAAGTAATCGAGGCTGGAGCTCGGCGAGAGCCACTGCCACAAGGCCAGCTCGTTGGCTCGTTGGAAGATCAGATCGGCGCGATGCTCCATCGGCAGAGTCCAGCACTTACCAAGAACTATACGAGCAAAGGTCCAAGCCATAGTCGGCCTGGAATCGGCGATACATCGCCGGCAGATCGGCTACGGGCCCCCGATAGCAAATCGTCCGCACGTTCCTGGGAAGGGTGGGGCTATCAGACCACTGCCGTCGACCAATGGGCGATGGGGGGTCGATGCATCCCCTCTCCTATCGTTGCCCATGAGCGGGGGTGGTACACGGGAAGTGATCAAGGGAGAAGCGGGGAGGGGCAGGGAGCGCCAGTGCCATCATGCGGTTCGCCTGGCTCGGCCAGCAGGCGGGGCCAGGTTCAGAAGTGGTTGCTAAGCCTATCCAGGGCGGTACTGTGGCAGGTCATGCGCATGGAGTATGCAGGGTTTGTCGTGGAAGTTGTGGCGGGGAGGGGCAGTGGAAGGAACGAGGAGGAAGAGGAAGAGGAGGAGGAAGAGGAGGAGACGGAGGAGACGGAGGAGGAGGAGGAGGAAGAGGAGGAGGAGGAGGTTCAGACTGAGGAGGAGGAGAGGAGGAGGAGGAGAGGAGAGGAGTGTGAGGAGGAGGTGTGAGGGGAAGGAGGAGAGGGAGGAGGAGGAGGAGGAGGAATGAGGAGGAGAGGAGGAGGAGGAGGAGGAGGAGGAGCAGACGGAGGAGACGAGGAGGAGGAGGAGGAGGAGGAGGAGGTTCAAGCGGAGGAGGTGTGAGGAAGCGGAGAGGAGGAGAGGAGAGAGGAGGAGGAGGAGAGGAGGAGGAGGAGGAGAGGGGAGGTGTGAGGAGGAGAGGAGAGGAGGAGAAGAAGGAGGAGGAGAAGAGGAGGAGGAGGAGGAGGAGGAGGAGGAGAAGAAGAAAGGGGCGAGCCTGGCAAGCTGTTTCCTCGAGGGTCGAGTGGCTACATTGCCCGACGTCGTCGGCCTTTGTCGGGCCTTGGATGGCCTCCGCGGAGACCTCCGGGAGTTTCTGGGACTTCTGGGGTTCGGATCCGGGGCGGCATCAAACGTTACAAGGGGCAACCGTACTCGACGGAAGGAGGAGGAGGAGGAGGAGGAGGAGGAGGAGGAAGAATTCTCTGGAGGTTCGCAAGACGGGGGAGGAGGAGGAGGAGGAGGAGGAGGAGGAGGAGGAGGAGGCGGAGGAGGAACACGAGGAGGAGGAGGCGGAGGAGGAGGAGGAGGAGGGGGGGAGGGAGTGCAGTCGCGGGCTGCAGAAGATCCTCCTCCTAATGGGCTGTCCTGCCGCAGACCCTCAACCCCAAACCCCTCCTCACCATCCGTCTCCTCTTCAATCAGCCTTTTCAGAAAAGCACTCGCATTCGCATGGTTCACCTCGACGGATGAACCCAAGCAGAAATACCTCGACATGCACGGCGAGCTGCCAGCTGGCGTCTGATCTAGCGGGCGGTGCGCTGAGGCTCTGGCGGTTGACGAGGAAGGTGACGAACACGTCGAACACCTGGCGGCAAGCTGACAGACACTGGCGCATCGAGAGACCTGCGATTCGGATCGAGGGTGCCGCTGCAAATGTGCTGCGCTCGGAATCATGCCAGCCCGCTGCTTCGACTCAACCGTCGCCGGTGCAGTCTCGGCTCTGGGACCATCGGGTTCTGCCCCGGATGAGTCGAGCCACGCAACAGACCACGCCGGAAGATAGCACCAATTGAGTCAATGCATCGGGGAGGGTGGGCGAGAAAGAAACGAGAGAGAGAGAGAGAGAGAAACAAAAAACAGCACGAGAGGGAAGAGAGACAGAAATATACCAAGAGATAGAAAGAGAGAGAGAGAGAGAGCGAGAGAAAGAGAGAGAGAGAGAGAACGAGAGAGAGAGAGAGAGACAACAATTATCCGGCATCGTGCCTCGGGGCACGCAGTGGGCGTGTCCTCGGGTCCTCTGCCTAATCCTCTGCGCCGCACTCCTCGCTCCTGAGGAGCCTTGAGAAGGGGGGCCCGCACCCCACACTCTCAGCTCTCCCGGGGCCTCCCGCGTGCCCCCTGGGGGCTTCCCGCCTGCCCCCTCGGGGCTCCCCGCGTGCCCCCCCCGGGCTCCCCCGCATCTTGTCGCGTGACTCTCTCGGGCCCACGAGGGCCCCAGGACGGGCCGAGAAGGCCTCGAAAGGCTCACCAAGGCGGTCCACAAGGACCCCGAGCCGCCGAGAGATCGCCCCAAGACGCGCAAGGTGCCCCCCTAAGACGGCCCAAGAGGCCTCCAGCACGCCCGAAGAGGCCTCCAAGAGGCCTCCCAGGACGGCCCCGAGAGGCCCAAATCAATGATCTGCCTGAGGTGTTCAAACAGTCCAAGAGTGCCCCGAGACGGCCCAAGAGGCGCCCAGAACGGCCCAGGAGGCCCCAGGACGGCCCCAGAAGGAGCCCAAGAGGGCCCCAAGAGGAGGCCCCAAGAGGCCCAGGCGTCCCAACTGCCTCCAAGAGGCCCCCGAGAGGGGCCCCCCCCGAGATCCCAATGAACATCCAATAGGCCTCATACCCACAACCCAGGCACGGTGGCGGGATGTTCCGAAGGTAGATGTATCCGCCGCCCCCCGTTGGCTTGCCACACGGGTGCCCGGCGTGCTGGATCATTTCAAAGTTGGTTTTGTCTTTGTTCCACAAGAGCTCTCCCCTGCGGCTTCGGCCCGTCCCGCCAGCCACCCGGAAGGGATCGCAAGACCCGGTTGCAAAGGTTTTTCCTGCTCCAGACGGCTCCAAGACAGCCCAAGCTGGCCTCCAAGATGCCTCGAAAATGGCCTAGATGGCCTCCAGGACGGCCCAAGAGGATCCAAAATACTTCCAAGTCCGCCCAAGAACCCTCCAAGACGGCCCAAGACTGCCCAAGAGGTGCCCAAGATGCCTCCAAGACGGCCCAAGAGGCCTCCGAGAGGTCCTCCAGGAGGGCCCGAGGAGGTTAAACATCGTATTTGTTTGTGGGGGTCTTCCGACGGCCGAAGACGGCCCAAGAGGTCACAAAGATCGCCACTAGAGAGCAAGACGGCCCTGGAGCACCCCACGAGGGCCCCAAGTCGGCCCACAGAGGCCCCCAAAACGGCCTCCGACGGCGTCAGACGGGCCAGGAACCCACCAGGACGGCCCAATATGGCTCTAAGATGGCCCAAGACAGCACAAGAGGTTTCCAAGAGGGCCTCCAGGAATGCCCGAAGAAGCCAACATGCTTGATTTCCCATATGTGTTTGAAGGATTTTGGCATGTGCTTCGTTTCGGTCTTCCGACGGCCCGAGACGGCCCAAGAGCACCCAAAGCTCGCCCCAAGATCGCTCAAGAGGTCTCCAAGATGGCGACAGAGCAGCCCAAGAGGCCCCCAAAACGGCCCCAAGACGGCCAAAGATGGCGTCTAACACGCCCAAGAAAGCCTCCAAGACGGTCCTGGAGCATTCCAAGAGGGCCCCAAGTCGGCCCAGAGAGGCCCCCAAAAAAGCTTCCGGCGGCGTCAGACGGGCCTGGGCCCCATCAAGACAGCCGAAGATGGCCCTAAAATGGCCCAAGACGGCCCAAGAGGTGTCCAAGAGGGTCTCCAGAAGGCCCGAAGAGGCCAAACTCATTGATGTCCCATGGGTTTTTGAAGGATTTTGGCATTTGCTTCTTTTGGGTCGTCCGACGGCCCGAGACGCCCCAAGAACAACCAAAGATCGCCCCTAGATCGCCCAAGAGGCCTCCAGGATGGCGCCAGAACGGCCCAAGAGGCCCCCAAGACGGCCCCAAGATGGCCCCAAGACGGCCCAACAGGCCTCCAAGACGCCCAAGATGGCATCCAAGACGGCCCTGGAGCACCCAAAAAGGGCCCCAAGTCGGCCCGCGTCAGACGGGCCAGGAGCCCACCAAGACGGCCAACGAGGCCCCCGAGAAGCCCCCAACGGCCCCCAAGATGCCCAAGGAGATCCCCAAGATGCCTCCAGGAGGCTCCCAGGACACAGGAGGCCCCAAGAGTGTCCCCATAGGCTCCCAAGATGCCTCCTCCTCCTCCTCCTCCACCTCCTCCGCCTCCTCCTTATATTCCTGCCATCCTCCCCCATGTGTTCCCGGAACGGTTTCCACAACGTTTGGGGGAACACGTGGTCCGATAGCTTTGCGGAGCTCTTGCCACAACGCTTTGCCAAATGGGCGATTCTGGAAGGCAGGGGGCGGCGGTGATTCGCCGTAGGCGTCTTCGATATATGCATAGGTGTATACATGTATATATGTTTATGTGTGTACATATAGATATGCAAAAGAGAAGAGATAAACATTATCCCGGCAAAGCAACCTAACATCGATGTGTAGGAGCATATCTGGAAGCATTCCCCTTAAGATTCGGATGAGAATCCAGTTGTAGAATTCTGCTGTTCTTGCAGTCGTAGTCGCATTCGCGATGACAGTCGCAGCGGCAACGGCAGTCGCAGTCACAGCCTCAGCCTCAGCCTGCCTCAGCCTCAGCCTCAGCCTGCCTCAGCCTCAGCCTGCCTCAGCCTCAGCCTCAGCCTGCTTCAGCCTCAGCCTCAGTCTGCCTTCAGCCTCGGCCTCAGCCTCAGCCTGCCTCAGCCTCAGCCTGCATCAGCCTCAGCCTCAGCCTCAGCCTGCCTCAGCATCAGCCTGCCTCAGCCTCAGCCTCAGCCTGCCTCTGCCTCAGCCTCAGCCTGCTTCAGCCTCAGCCTCAGTCTGCCTTCAGCCTCGGCCTCAGCCTCAGCCTGCCTCAGCCTCAGCCTGCATCAGCCTCAGCCTCAGCCTCAGCCTGCCTCAGCATCAGCCTGCCTCAGCCTCAGCCTCAGCCTCAGCCTCAGCCTCAGCCTCAGCCTGCTTCAGCCTCAGCCTCAGTCTGCCTGCAGCCTCGGCCTCGGCCTCAGCCTGCCTCAGCCTCAGCCTGCCTCAGCCTCAGCCTCAGCCTGCCTCAGCCTCAGCCTCAGCCTCAGCCTTCAGCCTCAGCCTCAGCCTCTCAGCCTTCAGCCTCAGCCTCAGCCTCAGCCTCAGCCTGCCTCAGCCTCAGCCTCAGCCTCAGCCTCAGCCTCAGCCTCAGCCTCAGCATCAGCCTCAGCCTCAGCCTCAGCCTCAGCCTGCCTCAGCCTCAGCCTCAGCCTGCTTCAGCCTCAGCCTCAGTCTGCCTTCAGCCTCGGCCTCAGCCTCAGCCTGCCTCAGCCTCAGCCTGCATCCTCAGCCTCAGCCTCAGCCTGCCTCAGCCTCAGCCTCAGCCTCAGCCTCAGCCTCAGCCTCAGCCTCAGCCTCAGCCTCAGCCTGCCTCAGCCTCGGCCTCAGCCTCAGCCTGCCTCAGCCTCAGCCTGCATCAGCCTCAGCCTCAGCCTCAGCCTCAGCCTCAGCCTCAGCCTCAGCCTTCAGCCTCAGCCTCAGCCTCAGCCTCAGCCTGCCTTCAGCCTCGGCCTCAGCCTCAGCCCTCAGCCTCAGCCTGCCTCAGCCTCAGCCTCAGCCAGCCTCAGCCTCAGCCTCAGCCTCCTCAGCCTCAGCCTCAGCCTCAGCCAGCCTCAGCCTCAGCCTCAGCCTCAGCCTCAGCCTCAGCCTCAGCCTCAGCCTCAGCCTTCAGCCTCAAGCCTCAGCCTGCAGCCTCAGCCTGCAGCAGCCTCAGCCTCAGCCTCAGCCTCAGCCTCAGCCTCAGCCTCAGCCTCAGCCTCAGCCTGCCTCAGCCTCAGCCTGCAGCCTCAGCCTCAGCCTCAGCCTCAGCCTCAGCAGCGAGCCTCAGCCTCAGCCTCAGCAGCTGCAGCCTCAGCCTCAGCCTCAGCCTTCAGCCTGCAGCCTCAGCCTGCCTCAGCCTCAGCCTCAAATGGCCTCAGGCCTGCCTCAGGGGCCCGGGAATGGAGTTCTGGGAACTCGAAGAACACGAAGTGGCCTACAGTTGGCTCCGGGCATTCAAAATCATGCCCAGGAATGGAATTCTGGGAACTCGAAGATCACGAAGTGGCCTACAGTTGGCTCGGGGCATTCAAAATGTGGCCCGGGAATGGAGTTCTGGGAACTCGAAGAGCACGAAGTGGCCTACAGTTGGCTCCGGGCATCCAAAATGTGGCCCGGGAATGGAGTTCTGGGAAGTCGAAGAGCACGAAGTGGCCTACAGTTGGCTCCGGGCATTCCCGGGAGTGGAGTTCTGGGAAGTCGAAGAGCCGAAGTGGCGGGACAGTTGGCTCCGGGCATTCAGAATGTGGCCCGGGAATGGAGTTCTGGGAAATCGAAAAACACGAAGTGTGTGACTGTATGCGAAAAACGATCCCCCCCCGGCAAACCCCAACGGCTCCCCAACGGCTGCCCAGACCCCCCTGTGGAGTAATGTGCTGCTCTCTTTTTAGTCCATTAGAAACCTATCAGTCTTCGATGTTAGGTAAATAGAGAGAGAGAGAAAGAGAGATAGAGAGGCAAGGCAGACAATGAGAGAAAGAGAGAGCACAACAACAACAATAACAACACCAACAACAACACAAACTAACAAGCAGCAACAACACCAACAACAGCCACAACAACAACAGCAACAGCAACAGCAACACCAACAGCAACCACAAACACATCACATATATAGAGAGAGAGACACATAAAGAGAGCGAGAGAGGGAGAGAGAAGCAGTTCGAGACGAGCCTCTGCAACGGTGGCGTGGTACTTGCAGGAGGACCGCCAGGAGGTGAGAAAAGAGGGGAGGCGAGGATGTGGTACAGCCCTTCACGGGGGAGGGAGAGGCGGGAAGGAGATGACGAAGAAGTCTAGTGCCAGTGTGGGCTACGGTTGTCCGACGAGACAGTCGAGTCCCTCGAGCTGGCTCGACAGGCAGAGAGACTGGCACCTGCCAGAGTGGGGGAGTCTTGTCTCGTTCCGGACCCATTCAAGCAGCCACCAGTGACTGGTCATATTTGCTTCAGTTTGGGGCAGTGGCGATTGCTTCCGACCCCCATCTCGCTCCACTGCTATCTGGAGCCTGCCGCGCCTGCCGAAGAAGAGGCACGGGCGGATGCGCCCCTGTCAGCGCCCGCACGGGGGACGCAAGCGCGAGGCGCCCATGATGTGGGCGTCATTCGAGACATGGGCGTGCAAGCTGCCCCGTCGGTTACAGGTGGCCCCAAGGCCCCCCTCAGCACGCTTCGCCGTCGGACGCACGGAGGGCCTCCAGGTGGCGAAATTCGACGTCGACGGCGAACCTGCCAGATGGGGTGGGCAGCAAGGGCATCCCCTTAGGTCGGGCATGTCCTCCTACAGGCGGATTCTGGAGGAAAATGAAAACTAGTCAAAACATGCTCAACAATGATGAGAGATAGTAGAAAAATCGTCCCCTGACTATTGTTTGACTATTTCTGAATACCCCTCCTGTAGAGGGACAGGCCCGACATGCGGGCGCGAGACTAAACCTGGCCTGCGAGGGGCAGGATCAACCAGCAACGAATCGGGAAATGGGATCGAATGGAAATGTGCGTCACGTCGTATCGGGCTGCATCGGCAAGGAGGCGAAATCCAGTCGGACCGGCTCCGCCAGGATGCACAACAACGTCATGCGAACATCGGGCCGCATCCGTTCGCAAAGACAGCAGAGACGGATCTGGCCAGAATCGGATCGCTTGGATCGAAATCGACCAAAGAACCTTAGGTCGGGAATGTCCCCCACAGGCGGATTTTGGACGAAAAATGAAACATACACCAAACATATTCCCACACTTGTCAAAACATAATAGAAAAATCGTCCTCATGTTGACTATTTCTGAACATGCCCCCTGTAGACGGACAGGCCCGACTTAACAAAAACCTCGGCTTGCGGGCCATGCGCTCAGGCCCCTGGCGGCCGCCCGGGACCACCTGGGCGGCTCCAGAGCGCTCTCGGCGAGGCGCAGCCGCCGGAGCGAAAACATCGAGGCAGGGCAACAGCCAAGAGCCGACGCAAGCTCCCTGGCTCGAGGCGGCGAGGAGAACGTCCGACATGGGCCCGGAGGGGGCCGAGGGCTGGTGCCTCTCTCGGGCGGTGGCAGCACTGGGTTTCGTGGGACCTGGTTCAGTGCTGTGTACTGACTACCTACCAGACCACCCCAACCCAACCCGAAGACCCGAATTTCGGGTTGGGGGTGGTAAGGGTTCCACGCGTGTTTTTTCGATGTTCCCCGACCCCCCCCCCACTGGAAATCGACGGTAAATTTGAGCCTTCGGGTTGGGTTGGGGTGGTTTGGTGGGTGGTGATGTACTGGGGGACGCCCCCCCCCCCCCCGCTCCTTTCCACTGACCGGAACTGCCGTCGCCCGAAAAAACACCAACAACGGCAGACCTGGTTGAGCGATTTTGGTCCTTCTCTTGGACTTCGGGGCCCAATCGCTCGCAGGCTCCCCTTAACGGGGGTCCTGGCAATACCCGACCCTCACCCAGACCGCGCCCTACCACCGGGGAGGATCTTTTTTGGGGGGCGCGCCGGATGCTGGACGCGAGGAATGAACCACTGCACCAATCGGCGGTGGACAAACCTCCCTGAAGTAAACCACCGTTTAGTGAAAACGGCCTGAGGCCGAAACCGACGGACCTGGACCCGCAAACATGACGGCCGCGACGCCCTCTCGCGAGCCGAAAACGGCTCATTCGCTAATCGACGTGTCAGGGTAGGAGGTCTATCAACCTCCGAGGCTGGTGCCTCTCACCCAGAGCGCGCACTGCCACTGGCCGAGGAAGACTCGTCAAACTCCTGCGGCTCTCGACGGCGAGGCTCTGTCTGGGGCGCGCCGGATGCTGGACGCGAGGAACAAACCACTGCACCAATCGGCGGTGGACAAACCTCCCTTTACTAATACTATATGTCCTCCTTGGAGGCGCGCGTCCGACCCGAACATATAGTATCCCGATCTTGTAATATATCGTTTCCCGAGCGGCGTGGCCAGAAAGCGCCCGCCACGACGCATGTACTATGAGATTTCTCGGTGCTCGCGTCGCCCCGGGGGGGGGGCCGACGCACATATAGTAGAAATATCTTGGGCTGACGCCGAACCACTGCACCAAACAATGCCATGCAAGATGCTCGAGCTTCCTTTCGACGACGCCTTCGGCTCTCGACGCAAGGAACAAACAGCTGCATCAACATAAACTGTCGGAACTCCGCGCGGATTTCTGGGATCGGCGCCGGACCCACCCTCCCTGGCCCGCGGCGCGCCAGGGGCGGCTCCGGAGGCGCCGCCTGGAAGCTCAGGCGCCGATCCAAGAAATCCGCGTGAACCTCCGACAGCGCATGCTTCTGCAATTGCGATGTTCCTCGATCTTTCGCGCGCGCCAGATGGCCGATTCCGAAAACCCTGAACCCAGAAATGTTGCCCTCCCACCTTGAGGGGCCTGTTTCCCACCACCACCACCACCATAAGTTGGAGGGGGGGAGGGGGTCCTCCTCCCCCTCGTCTTCTTCCTCCTCCTCCTCCTCATCCTCCACCTCCTTCCCCCTCCAACTTGTGGTGGTTGTGGTGGTGGTGTTGGTGGTGGAAAGCAAGCCCATCACATCTCTTGGGTGCGCACCCTGTACTTCGGCCTTCCGCCACCCTCCGCCGAGGAAGCGATGCCAACTCCTTGGGTCCTCCTCCTCCTCCTCCTCCTCCTCCTCCTCCCCTCTGGGTCCTCCTCCTCCTCCTCCTTCTCCTCCTTGAGTCCTCCTCCTCGAGGGCCAGAACCTCCTGGAGCGCGCCAGGCAGCAGCGGGAGCGCCGCCCGCCACGCGGCCTCCACGGCGTTGACGTGGTACTTGCAGTAAAGCTCGCTCGCCGCCGCCTGGGCCTGTGCACCGCTCGGCGGCGACGATCAGGGCGACTGGCCCAGGGGCGGGCATTGCTTGACGAGCGCGTTCCACGACTCGCATACAGTAGCTACTCGCATATGGCCTGGATCCAACAAAGGGACCCACGATGAATTACATCGAAGCAGACATGTGAATTTCGGACGTTTGCGAGTAGGCACTTTGCGAACAGTGGAACGCGCCCAGCGAATTACACGCATTCGCCCAGGAGCCCTGTCGAAGACATAGAGCAGCGGCGCCCCTGGATGCATGTATTGCTCTCCCCTGGCCTATTCGCCCCTATCGTCGCCTCTGAACCGAAGGAGCGCGCACGCGCCGAGGGGCGCGCCGGCGCACTGGCGCGAGGTTTGGAGCAGCAGGAGCAGAAGCAGCGAGAGCACATTGGCGGTGCGCACAACGGGTTGGGGGGAGGGGGGAGGGCTTCTTAGAAGGAGGCTGCTTCTTAGAAGGCGCCGGCCTTACATCTATAGATAAGGCCCGCACCTTGCAAGAAGCAGGGGTGCTTCTAAGAAGCCCCCCCTCCCTCCACCCCCCTCTGCGCGTGGCTGAGCAGAGGAAGTTTGAGCCCGAGCCCTTTGGAGAGGTTCGAGGTTCGACTGGGCAGCCCTTTGGACTCCCAACAGTTTGCGTTCAGTTCTGTGGGTCTTTGGACTGGCCAGCCACTCGGGCCGATTAGTCCTACGAACTACGCATCTGAGGTCCAAAGGCAAAGGGCTGGCTCAGATGCAAAGGCGTGCCCTAGCAAGGTGCCCACAGCGGGCGTGACGGCAGGTTCGAGGCACGAGATCGGACATCTCGTGGGTTCTCGGCAATTTTCAAGCCGGCTGGCTTACGGGAGCGTCTCTCGCCGGCTCGCCCGTTGGCGGGCTGGAGGCCTAAGGCAGGTTCGCATCGCGACGATCCTGGCGTTGGTTTCTGAACCCGCGTGAATCTTTCAGCCTTGACAGTTCGGCGGCTTTTCGATCGCCAGGTCGTCCTATGTTGGCCGACTCTGGGCAACCGGCGGCGTTCAGCCTCGAACATCCGCGGCAGGGTCGCTGTAGCGTCGGCACGACACGAACCTACCATAACTACAGGTGCTGCGGAGTCTTGCCCTCGATCCTCCCCAGACCTCCAACGTCGTGGACACAAAAACAAAACGGAATGCGTTCGTCGTTTTCGGCGCCTGCAGCCGCCTTGGGGCTCAAGGGGCGTCAACGAAAACTATCTGGGGCAAATCACAAGTAACATCCCCTGGGCAGGTGTCGAGGGGGCCCGAGGACCTGACGAAGCAAAAATCAGAACATCGGATCTCTGAGACAAGGATCGAGGGGCTCTGCTTCTCGAGAGCAGGGCGGGGGAAATGTCGCGCAGCATTAGGTCGGGCGCGTCCTCCTACAGGGGGACTGTGGACAGAAAACTTCAACATGGTGTAAAAATACTCCCAATTGGCAACGAATCCTAGAAAATCCTCCCCATACTATGTTTGGGCTATCCTCGAATATTCCTCCTGTAGAGGGACAGGCCCGACTTCAGCACAGGGCGTGGCGGCAGCGGCCCCTGCGACACGCTGTGCCTCGCAGGCTGGTGGTCGGTCGCTCCCCGGGAAGAGGCCGGAACGTCTGTGCTTGCGGCCCACGGGACGTGCTGGCGTGTCGCGCTGGAGCGTGTTGGGCCGGAGCCGACGGTTCGGAGAGCCATATGTATACTTAGGTCGGGAATGTCCCCCCAGCGGTTTTTGGACGAAACGTGACAATAGTCAAAGAAGACTCCAAAATGGTCAAGAATCGTCACGAAATCGTCCCCAGACTATCTTTTGACCATTTTTCCCCTGTAGAGGCGCAGGCCCGACTTACATTTACACACCTCCTCCGTTCAAGGGAGTGCAGGCAAAACAATCCAAATACTTGGAAACACCTCATCGGGGCCCAACACCAGGCCGTATTCCTGGCTTGCACGCCCCGCATTCTTGGCACAGCTGAGCGCGCGAGCGCTAGGAGGTCGCGGTCGAGGGCGTGTCGCTCCGTCGACGGAGCGACACGCGAAGCGAACGCTCCCGACAATAGACGATACGCGGATACGATCTGCGATGCGCGATCGCCACGGTAGCCTCTGCTCCGCCTTGCCTTGCCGTCGCGATCGACGCAAGCCGACACAGATTTCACACGAATCTCCGCAGCCAGAAACGCAACAGGCGAGAATGTCGCTCTGGCAATGGAAGAGGAAGGCGAGGGTGAGGCTGACACAGACGTGCAAAAACACAGCATATGCGTACGGCAAGACGCCTCGAAACTCATGCATGTGCATGCCTGTATACACGTTTCGTTGGTTCAGGTACTCGTAAAAGCGCCTCAGAACACGAGTGCCCTTGGGGCCACGTTGGAGACTTGTACCTCTGCTGGACAGCTGCTGACATGCAGGCTTCTTGCTCGCTGCACCTGCTGCGGTGGGACCATCACGCAGTCCAGCGCGGCCCCACATGCACACGCCCGCGCGGCGCTCTCCTCGCGTGGCGAACAAGGACGAGGGGGGAGGGAAACTAACCACGTGGAGGCAGGAGGGAGCGGGAGGGAAGGAGCCCGCACCCCCTTCGGGTTGCAGCGGCCGAGACTTCAGGGGATCGGCGCTGGCAAACATAAAAAACACGGCGTGGGGAGCCTGGGGCCAGGACCGAGTACGCTCAGTGGGTGGGAGAAGACGGCGGGGAGGGTGAAGGAGGAGGAGGAGGACGAGAACGGAGCGAAGGGGCGAAGACAGCGAGGGGGGCAAGGGTGAGCCGGCAGACAGGACGAGCAACGAGGGGGAGCGACACAAAAAACGCGACGCCGAGGGGCCCCGGCCCCCTTCCCCAGAGGGCCGCGTTTTGCTCCGGATCCCTCTTTATAGAATGGTCCCGCGGGGCCCGAGCACAGGCCCCGAAGGCCAGCATGGCGGAAAGACGCCAAGAGCGAACAGGAGTCGCATCACCGGAGATCTGGCTGGGAGCGGCAGCCCGCAGGCTGGGCGGCCTCCTCGCGCGTCCAATTGCCGTCGCCGTCGGTGTCGAGCTCGACCCAGCGCCCGGAGAGCTGGACGCTCGGGGGCGCGCAGGAGACCATGCCGTTGGGGAGCTGCGGGCAGGAGCAGTCAGCTTCCCATCGGGGAATCGGATCGGATCGGAACGTGTATCGAATCGGACCGGATCGGTACGGAGTCGGAATTGAATCGGATCGGCCGCGCCAGGGTGCACATCTGCGCCACGCAGCCACCCGTGAGAAGCCCGGCGGCAGAAGCGGAGGAAGGAGCACAGAGCGCGAGAGAGAGAGAGATAGAGAGGAGACCACGAGGCCAGGAGCGCTCGACAGACCTAGCGGCCTGGGGCCGCCCGCAGCGCGCGCGTCCATCCACCGCGTGGCCCGGGAGACCGCCTAGGCGCGGCCGTGCACCGAAGCAGTCAGGTGCGCCAGGGCGCTCGGCCATGAGAGCGAGCTCCAGGCATGCCCACGCCGTGAAAAAAATATCAGGACGGACTGTGCTCGGGCCGTGTCACTCCCTAGCCGTGATGCCGTGCACCGGCTTCGGGATGGCGCTCGTTTCTTATCAGGCTTGGTGGGTCATAGCTCGAGTTGCAGACCGATCTCAGGTTTCTCGAGCCTCTAAACTGATGCGTTCGGTGCTGCTGAATCCGTTGATATACTAAAAGCTTTCTAGCTGAACTGAATCTCGAGATCAAGTCCATAAACCGAACGTGCGCCAAAAACAATTATCGGGGAGACGCAAGACACGGGTACGGGGGACTCGGGGTGTCCCGACGGGGCCATCATAAAAATGACGAGACCCAATCTGAACTTTGACGCGAGCTCCCGCTGCAAACGTACCACGAAAACCGGACCGTCAACATCCAGGACGCGCTCGCCAGAAGACGTCGGGAAATCCGAGCTCCAGCTTAACCCCATGCCCACGATAATAATGTACCCCCCCCTTAAGTCGTTAGAGATTTTTATCGTCGACCAATAAGAATTTGGTCGGGGGCGCGGGGGCGCGAAGGCCGAACTTCATTATCACGGGAAAAGTTCGCCATCGAGGTTACTTCCATCTTATGTTGAGATAACAACATCAAGCGAAGCGAACACGTTGTTTCAGGATGCCCCAAGCGAAACCAATGTCATTATCTCTCTTTGTAGTTCTTTCTGTCTCTCTTTCTTTCTTTCTCTGTCTCTCTCTCTCTCTCTATCTGTCTCTCTATCTCTTTCTCCTCCTCCTCCCTCTGGCGCCCTGAACTTGTTCATCGCTGGGGTAAACTTTCCTGGAAAAACGAGGAACGTGAGCTACCCTACACGAGCAGATGCAAATTTTAATTTTCATCAAGCGTTTACACATTAAATATAATAAGTGTTAAACTTTGGATGTTTGCTATCTCCTTCTCCTCTCCTCCTCTTGCTCTTTCTCCTCCTCCTCCCTCAGGGATGTCTCAAGCGAAACCGATGTCCTTCTGTCTCTTTGTAGTTATTTCTGTCTCTCTTTCTTTCTCTGTCTCTCTCTCTTTCTCTGTCTCTCTATCTCTTTCTCCTCCTCCTCCCCCTGGCGCCCTGAACTTGTTTATCGCTGGGGTTGATTATCCTGGGAAAACGAGGCACGTGAGCTACCCTACACGAGCAGATGAAAATTTTAATGTTCATCAAGCGTTTACACATTAAATCTAATAAGTTTTAAACTTTGGATTTTTCCTATCTCCTTCTCCTCTCCTCCTCTTGCTCTTTCTCCTCCTCCTCCTCCCTCAAGGATGTCTCAAGCGAAATAAGCAATAAGTTGAAGATGTCTCAAGCGAATCAGACAAATATTTCGAGGATGTCTCAAGCGAAACAAGCAATTCGTTGAGGATGTCTCAACCGAGACAATCCTCAAGATATCTTTGGCTTTTTCTCTTGATATCTCTTTATGTTGGCTCTGGCGGGCAACTTTTATTATCCCCCCGAAAACCCCGAACTTTACTATCCCTGGGGGTTTATTCTCCGAGGTTTAGGGTTACTCGAGCCTTACGTGAGGAGGAGGAGGAGGAGGAGGAGGAGGAAGAGGAGGAGGAGGAGGAATCCCCCGAAATTGGGAACTCTTTTTGGCACGCCTCTGCTCGTTCACCGTGCCTCGCGGCAGGTTGACTGGCCGCTCAGCCTGCTCGTCGCTGGACTTAGGTCGGGCCTGCCCCCCTACAGGGGGACTTTGGGCGAAAAAATAAAAATACTCTAAACATACCCCCCAAGTGCTCAAAAATAATCAACAAATAATCCCCATACTAATTTTCAACATGTTTGATAAAATCCTCCCGTGGAGGGACAGGCCCGACTTAACGCCGGACCGCCCGCTGCCCGCCGCCCTCAGGCCTCTCTCGGGCTGCCGCAGCTCGGGCGGCAGCCCCGGGGCCATCCAGAAAAAGGTCGGCGACTCCAAAGGGTGCGGTTTGCAAAGGGTGTGATTTGCAACGGGCACCCTGGGGAAGATCCTGAGGGGCACCCTAGGGGGGCGCGCGGGGGCCTCCATAGAGTTCTCCCGCGCCCCGAGGAGGCCCGACGAGGACAGCGTCGTGCCCCCCAGGCTCCGACTGTGCGCCGATCGCAAGCCACACCCCAGCGTAACCGTACCCTTTACAGTCGCCGAAAAAGGGCTCGGGATGAGAAACCCGCCCCGGGCAGAGGGTCGGATGTCTGGGGCTCTCAGGTCCAGGCGACGCCAAGAAGTCATGACGGCCAGGTGTTCGTCATTCTCGGCCTCTCCCCTTCACTGTCCTCTTTCCCCCCTTCAGCTTTGCAAACCCCGGAAATGCGAAAAACATACTTTTCCTCCTCTCCCTATCTTGTCCTCTGCCTCACCTTGCTTTGGAGTCATCTCGTGGGACTGGGAAGTTTCGTGCGACGGGTGAAGGGCTACTAAGCCCAAATTAGAAACCGCTGCGCCAAAATGCAACCCGGGCTCCAACCCCAACTCCAAACCATGCAAGCCGGGCTGAACGGGATCACGCGGGTTGATGCGATTAGGCCGGTTCAATTTCACTTCTCAGGTGGTGCTTCGGACGCTGGCGCCGTGTGCTGGGCGCTGCTGCGCAGGACGCAGACGGCCATCGGCGTTGCCCTCTGGCGCGGGGCCGCGGCCATGGTGCACGCTTCCCTGCCAGCGCTCACTCCTGAGGAGGAGCGTCTGCTGTGGGCGGCGGCGGCGAAGCAGGCCGCGCAGTGGTTCTTCGAGGAGGAAGAAAGCCCGACTCTTCGAACCTTCCTGCTCGATGGGGCGGACAGGAGGGGCGGGAGAGGGTCGAGTTCCAGGCAAGAGCGCGCCCGCTGTCTCGCTCACCCCCCCCCATAGCACCGCACGTGCGCAGGAACTCCGCTCAACATGTCGCGGCGGCGGCCGCACGCGAGCGGCCAGCGGCAGTCGCTGCGCTCCGCCGGGCGGGAGGCCCGGATCAGCTCGGGGCGCTGACGCGCGTGGACCAGGGCGTGGCCAGCGCGTCGCGCCGGAACGCGGTGGGCCAGCACCGGCGGAGCGACAAGCTCGCCAGAATTCCTGACCGCGTGTGGGCAGCAGCCAGAATTCAGCACAGGCAGCGGTCGCAGTCCGATGCGCGAGGCCTGGGGAACTCGGCGGCGAGCCCAGGGGAGAAGTGAGAGGGGCACGCCTTCTCGCACAGAGTGGCTCCCGGCGGGAGCCGGCTCCAGGAGGAGCCGCGCCAACCTGGCGCCCTGCAGGGCGATTGGTCCGGGTCCGCCTGGGGTGAGCAGCCGCGCTGGTGCACTGTTCTGCCTCACGCTCTCGTGCTGCCTTGCTCTCCTCCCTCCGCCCTGCTTCTCAGAAGCCCTCTGGCCTTCTGAGGAGCCGTCTGTGGTTTTTTTCGGAGCAGGCTTGAATAGAAGAAACAAAAAAACGCCATAAACAAACACAAACATTTGGCGCTCGGCGCGGATTTCTTGGATCTGCGCTGGACCCCCTCCCTGGCGCGCGGAGCGCGCCAGGGGCGGCGCTGGAGGCGCCGCCAGGGGGCCCAGCGCGGATCCACGAAATCCGCGGCGGTTTTCCAGCCTCAGGGTGCTTTCCAGCCTCAGGGTGCTTTCCAGCGCGACGCTCTGCGCACCAGCCTCGGTGCTTGTGCCAGCACACATCGGGCAAGATGCTGACAGCCCCACGACCCACCACCCATCCAACGCACAAGCGCAGGGTGACGGCGGGGTGGCAGCCTGGTGAGCTGTCTGTGCGCGTGCGCCCGCACTCACTTCACGTGAACGGTCGGGAGCTCTCGCTCAGCGTGCCGCGGCGGCGTCCCTCGCGGCACGCTGTGCCCTGCGAGCGGACAGCATGTGGCTTCGCCCCGCGGATCAGGAGGCTCCGAAACGCTCGGGGCGTTGACGCCTGGGGGCCCGGACGTGGGCAGCGTGTCGCGCCTAAGGGTGGCGGGCCAGCAGAGACGGAACGACACGCTGAGCCAAGACTCCCGACCGTATGTTGTGCCAAGAACGGCTGGCAGGCGCACGAACGGAAAATCTGATCCCCCCCCCCGCCATGCCTGACAACAAGAGCAGCTGCAAGCTGATCACGGGGGGCCTGCTTGGCGGCGCGCACGAGGGGGTGGGGGAGGGGGGCGGGCTTCTTAGAAGGGGTCTGCTTGTTAGAAGGCGCCAGCCTTACATCTGCAGATGAGGCCCGCGCCTTCTAAGAAGCAGGGGTGCTTCTAAGAAGCCCCCCCCCTCCCTCCACCCCCCTCTGCGCGTGGCTGAGCAGAGGAAGTTTGAGCCCGAGCCCTTTGGAGAGGTTCGAGGTTCGACTGGGCAGCCCTTTGGAGAGGTTCGAGGTTCGACTGGGCAGCCCCGCCCCCCTCTGTGCGTGGCTGACCCGCAGCACCCTGCGCATTGCTCGGTGTGTTGCCACAGCGTGCGCTCTGCACGCATGTCGGAGTCCCGTAGCTGTTCGGGGGGGGACTGTCCTCGGCCGGCGGCTGCCCGGGTGGGTGACGGGAGCGCTTCTTACTTGGCTGAGGAGCAGTGGCGGGCGGGGGAGGGGGATTGCGAGGGGGGAAGTGAGGCGGCCGGCAGACAGAGGGGAAGGACAGAGGGGAGGGAAGGGAAGTGGACGGGAT